CACTTTGCGAGGCCCAGGATCATCTGAGGTTGGGAGTTTGAGACCAGCCTGACCAACATGGAGAAACCCCATCTCTACTAAAAATACAAAATTAGCCGGGCGTGGTGGCGCATGTCTGTAATCCCAGCTACTCAGGAGGCTGAAACAGGAGAATCACTTGAACTCGGGAGGCGGAGGGTATGGTGAGCTGAGATCACACCATCGCGTTCCAGCCTGGGCAAAAGAGCAAAACTCCATCTCAAAAAAAAAAAAAAAAAAAAAATCAGGATATCTGATAAGGGAATTGCAGTGAGAATATATTAAAAACTAAAAACTTACAACTCAATAGTGAAAGGACACCTACACAATTTAAAAATGGGTGAAGGATTAGAATAGACAGTTCTCCAAAGATCTACAAATGGCCAATAAGCATGTTAAAAGACACCAGTTCACACCCAGTAGAATGACTATAATCAAAAAGATAATAATAAGTGCTGATGTGGATATGGAGAAACTGGAACGCTTATATATTGGCGGTAGAAATGTAAAATGGTATAGCCATTTTGGAAAAGTCAGTTTCTCAAAAGGCTAAATAGTCACCTTTTGACCCAGCAATTCCACTGGTAATAGAAATAAAAACATACATCCACACAGGCCAGGCGTGGTGGCTCATGCCTGTAATCCCAGCACTTTGGGAGGTCAAAGCGAGTGGATCATGAGGTCAAGAGATCAAGACCATACTGGATGGTGAAATCCCACCTCTACTAAAAATACAAAAATTAGCCGGGCGTGGTGGTGCGCACCTGTAGTCCCAGCTAGTTGGGAGGCTGAGGCAGGAGAGTCGCTTAAACCTGGGAGGTGGAGATTGCAGTGAGCCAAGATCTTGCCACTGCACTCCAGCCTGGGTGACAGAGCAACACTCAGTCTCAAAAAAGCAAACAAACAAAAAAACAAACATACATCCACCCACACAAAAACTTTTATACAAATGTTGCTAGCAGTATTATTTACAAAAGCTTAAAAGTGGAGGGCCGGGCGCAGTGGCTCACGCCTGTAATCCCAGCACTTTGGAAGGCCAAGGCAGGTAGATCACCTGAGGTCAGACGTTCAAGACCAGGCTGGTCAACATGATAAACCCCGTCTCTACTAAATATACAAAAATTAACCGGGCGTGGTGGTGGGCGCCTGTAATCCCAGCTACTTGGGAGGCTGAGGCAGGACAGTCACTTGAACCGGGGAGACGGAGGTTGCAGTGAGCCGAGATCGCACCATTGCGCTCCAGCCTGGGCTACGAGAGCAAAATTTCTTTTAAAAAAAAGTGGAAACAACACAAATGCTCATCAACTGAATAACAGGTAAGAAAATAAGTATATCGGCCGGGCGCGGTGGCTCATGTCTGTAATCCCAGCACTTTGGGAGGCCCAGGCAGGTAGATCGTGACTTCAGGAGATCGAGACCATCTTGGCTAACACAGTGAAACCCCGTCTCTACTAAAAATACAAAACATTAGCCAGGCATGGCGGTGGGCGCCTGTAGTCCCAGCTACTCAGGAGGCTGAGGCAGGAGAATGGCGTGAACTCGGGAGGCGGAGCTTGCAGTGAGCTGAGATCTTGCCACTGCACTCCAGCCTGGGGGACAGAGTGCGAGATTCCGTCTCAAAAAAAAAAAACAAAAAAACACACATGCTAAGTGAAAGAAGGAAGGCAGTCACAATAATATTTTATGGTTTCATTTGTGTGAAATACCCCGATTAGGCAAATCCATAGATATAGCAGATTAGTGGCTGCCAAAGGCTGGGGGTAGGAAGGACTGGGAGGAAACAGGGAATGACTGCTAATGAGTACCATGGTTTCTTTTTGGGAGATGAAATGTTCTTAAAGTTATAGTGTTGATAGTTGCACAACTCTGTCACTGTACTAAACACCACTGAATTGTATACTTTCAATGGGTGAATTATATGTTAGGTAAATTATATCCCACTAATGCTTTTTTTTTTTTTGAGAGGGAGTTATGTTCTTTTGCCCAGGCTGGAGTGAAGTGGCATGATCTCGGCTCACTGCAACCTCTGTACCCTGGGTTCAAGTGATTCTCCTGCCTCAGCCTCCTGAATAGCTGGGATTATATGCACCAGTCACCACGACTGGCCAATGTTTGTATTTTTAGTAGAGATGGGGTTTCACCATGTTGGCCAGGCTGGTCTCGAACTCCTGACCTGTGGTGATCCACCTGCCTCCACCTCCCAAAGAGCCAGGATTACAGGCGTGAGCCACTGCGACTGGCCAATGCTGATTTTTAAAACAGGTAGCTGGCAGGATTTGGGTTTGGTCTGTAGAATGTAATTAGCTGATCCCTGGCATGAAGAAACAAGTAAAATGAGGCCAGGCTCAATGGCTCCCACTTGCAATCTTAGCACAGCACTTTGGGAGGCCAAGGCAGGAGGACTGCTTAAGCCCAGGAGTTTGAGACCAGCCTGGGCAACATTTTTTTTTTTTTTTTTTTGATACGGAGTCTCGCTCTGTCGCCCAGGCTGGAGTGCAGTGGCATGATCTCCGCTCACTGCAACCTCCGCCTCCCAGGCTCACGCCATTCTCCTGCCTCAGCCTCCCGAGTAGCTGGGACTACAGGAGCCCGCCACCTCACCCGGCTAGTTTTTTGTATTTTTAGTAGAGATGGGGTTTCACCATGTTAGCAAGGATGGTCTCGATCTCCTGACCTCATGATCCGCCCGCCTGGGCCTCCCTAAGTGCTCGGATTACAGGCGTGAGCCATCGCGCCTAGCTGGAACAGTTCTAAATCAAGAGAGATGTAAAAGACAATAGCAAAAAAACTATATCCTGACTACAACAAACCCACAGTTACGCTGGACTTGACTCTGCACCACGTAATGGATAGTAGTCTAGAATTACGGTTGTTCTTGTAAAGTGTGATAATGGTATTGTGGTCATATTAGCAATGTTTCTGGTTTTCACACACGCACCCTGTTAAATAAAATTTATAGAAGGTCATTGGTTAGGACTGAGCTCCTGCACTAGGTTCAATGAACCAAACCAAAATGGAGTCACTCATGCTAAAGTTCCATGCTTCCAAGCCAAACTAAGTTGATACCTGATCTTCTGAGACATAGGGAGAGAGATAATAGCCAAATCCCCAAACAGCCCAGTTTTAGCCCACCTGATAAAGGAAGTCCCCTCTACTTTAACCTTTAACTTAGAAATTTAATCAAGTTAATCAATTTAACCAACTAGCTTTTTGTTTTCAGTTTCTGACTTTCTCAGCCCTTTGTCTCTGAAAACAACCTCCTCCTCTGCTCAGCTCATCAGAACACTCATGCTATTTTCCATAATTAGACGTTGTTCGATTGTAGATCCACAAATAAATGCCAATTAAGATCTTCTCACTACATGTGTTGTAATTTTGTCTTTTGACAATCCTTAAGTGTCGTGATGCCAAGGATTTGTTTTAATCTCTTTATGGTTAAAAAAAAAAATACAGCAAGTATGGCAAAAATAATAATTGGTAGATTTGGGTGACAGGAATTCCTGTATTCTTCTCTCAGTTTTATGTAAGTTTGAACATTTTCATAAGAAAACATTAACATCAAACTGTCTCAAGGACCCTTCAAGCCCCAAGTTCACAGAATTAGCAGCGCAATCAGAATGCGAATCCACGACTGCCTGACCTCGAAGCTACACACAGGAAAAAGTGAATCCCTGCACCAATCCCGAGAGGGATGGGGCTATCAAAAAAGTGAAGAGAAGGTGGCGATGGACGACTGCACAATCTGGTATCGCCCGCCGTCCCACCACAGTCTGAGAAACTGAGGCCAGGAAAGGAGTTCTCTTTCCTCAACTCCCACTGCTTAGACCGCCCGCAATCCCAGTCCACTCCTTCCCTTGGGACCACCAGCAAATCGCCATCATCTACAGCGGAACTGTAACTCTCAGGAGAACTGGCCGATGCTAGCTACCACTTCGCTGAGTTTATTGTGAGAGAGAGCGAGAGTGAGTGAGTGAGAGTGAGAGACACAGAAGGAGAGAGAACTGCCCGATGGACGGTTGGCCACCTCCAGGAGAGTGTAGTTCAGCTTCAAACTTGCGGCGCCCGGACAGCTCTATTAATAATGACTGACAGGGAATCGGGAATCCAAAATCTTGCCCCAGTCTCCCTCAAGACCCCAGATCTCTAGCCCGCAGGAAAGCGATCCCAACAACACTCTTCCTGCACTGCCTCGAACTCACCTCCCGAACGACTCCCAGTCCCTCGGTCGCTTCTTCAACTGTGCCCCGACACCGGAAAGGAGCACTATTTTCCCCCTCCGCTCCGCCCACTTCCGCCCAGCAGAAGGCATCGGAAGTAGAGCTGCCCCTAGTTGCGGAAGTGCCTCGCCTGGCTTGCTCAAGTTCTCTCTTCTCTTTCTCCCTTCGGAAACGTGAGTGGCAAATAGAAGGTTCCGGATATTGAACCTGGTGGGAATATGGGGAACGGTTACTATGTACTAGGCATTTCCCAGGGAGATCGTTTTTTCCTGCTTGATTCCCAGACTTTGAGTCTCTCCAAGCCCAAATTTAAGAACTAATCACTTCCCCTAGAGATCGGGAAGCCCACTTTCCCAAATATATCATCCACTCTTCTTGCTGCATCTTAAAACTCAATTGAGAAGAGACAACTGCGCTCCCATTTTACAGACAGAGCCATTGGGAAATTGAAAGTCAAAGCCATTCAAGTCGCCCTCAGGAAACAGGGATTTACTGCGGCACTGCCCAGCTGTCCCAGGGACTAAGGCATATCGTCCCCGCTAGTTTCTAGGTATCTAGAGACCCAGACATTAATTTTTCTAGCTCGGCCAGGCGAACTTCCAGGGGAGAGCCAGAGGGAGTAGGGGGCGAGAGGGAGGAGGAGGGTCGAATCCAATCCCCCAAATGCCCCATGGTATTCGACACCTTGGCTTCCCCATGGATCTCCGGACTTTAAGTCCTTTATCCCAAGGTCCCTTTAAATACTTTGTCCCTTACCTGAGTCCCGCCCAGGGCAGGTAATGGCAAGTTCCGCCCCCCTGCCAGAAACCGGGATCAGGCTTGGTTACCGGGAGTGGGGCACCCCTCCTCCTTATCCCCTCCCCTCTTCCCTGTCCCCCTTCACAGCTGGCTGTAGCTGGCCAAGGAGGTCTCCATTAAAGAGGAAGGGGCAGTGCTCACATTTCTGGGCAGGTAAGTGAATGTCCCTGGAGGAACAGCCTGGCTTGGGGACCCAGGCATCCTGGCTCCCCGCCCCTCCGAGACCCAGAAGTTTGGGGCTCCTAGGCCCAGGAGTCCAAGGCCCCTGCCCCCTAGGTCCCTAGACCCGATAATATAACTAATCCCCTGCCTCTGCCTCTCTCGTAATCTTTGTTGTCTGTGGGTGGATGTGACAATGAGCACAGAGAGAGGCACAAGTGGAAATTACCAGGAAGTGAAGACTCCGGATCACCAGTGGACATGTTTATGAGCATCTGTGTCAGGTGCTGTAGACACAATGGGGAAAAAAGATAAGCTGCCTGCTCTCTGCTCTCTTCTCTGGCGGACACTGCCTTCACTGAAATCCTGGCTGTCACACTTGCACACTGTGTGATCTTTGGCAAGCTATTTTGCCTCTCTGTGCCTCCGTTTCCTGTTCTCTATATTGGGGACAATAATAGGACTCCTGGTCAGGCGCAGTGGCTCACACCTGTAATCCCAGCACTTTGGGAGGCTGAAGCAGGTGGATCACTTGAGGTCAGGAGTTTGAGACCAGACTGGCCAACATGGTGAAACCCTGTCTGTACTAAAAATGTAAAAATTAGCCGGGCATGGGCCAGGCACGGTGGCTCACGCCTGTAATCCCAGCACTTTGGGAGGCTGAGGTGGGCAGATCACGAGGTCAGATCGAGATCATCCTGGCTAACACGGTGAAACTCCATCTCTGCTAAAAATACAAAAAATCAGCCGGGCATGGTGGCGGGTGCCTGTAGTCCCAGCTACTCGGGAGGCTGAGGCAGGAGAATGGTGTGAACCTGGGAGGCGGAGTTTGCAGTGAGCTGAGATCCTGCCACTGCAGTCCAGCCTGGGTGACAGAGTGAGACTCTGTCTCAAAAAAAAAAAAAAAAAATTAGCTGGGCGTGGTGACGTGCGCCTGTAATCTCAACTACCCAGGAGGCTAAGGCAGGAGAATCGCTTGAACCCAGGAGGCAGAGGTCACAGTGAGCTGAGATAGCGCCACTGCACTCCAGCCTGGGTGACAGAGCGAGACTGTCTTAAAAAAAAAAAAAAAAAAAAAAAAAAAAAAGGGCTTCTGTGCAAAGTTTTGTTTTGGACATGGAATCTCACTCAGTCACCCAGGCTGGAGTGCAGTGGCACGATCTCGGCTCACTGCAACCTCCGCCTCCCAGGCTCAAGCGATTCTTCTGCCTCAGCCTCCCAAGTAGTTGGGATTACAGGCGCCCAGCACCGCGCCTGGCTAATTTTTGTATGACTCCTGTGAAAAGTCACATGAGTTGAGGCGGAGCATAGTGGCTCATGCCTGTAATCCCAGCACTTTGGGAGGCTGAGGTGGGCGGATCACTTGAGGTCAGGAGTTCAAGACTGGCCTGGCCAACATGGTGAAACCTCATCTCTACTAAAAATATGAAAATTCACTTTGGGAGGCCGAGGCGGGTGGATCACGAGGTCAGGAGATTGAGACCATCCTGGAGAACACAGTGAAACCCCATCTCTACTAAAAATACAAAAAAAATTAGCCGGGTGTGGTGGCAGGCACCTGTAGTCCCAGCTACTCAGGAGGCTGAGTCAGGAGAATGGCACAAACCCGTGGGATGGAGTTTGCAGTGAGCGGAGATCATGCACTGTACTCCAGCCTGGGTGACATAGCAAGACTCTGTCTCAACAAAAATAAAATAAAATAAAATAAAATGAAAATTAGCCGGGTATGGTGGTGCATGCCTATAATCCCAGCTACTCGGGAGGCTGAGGCATGAGAATCGCTGGAACCCAGGAAGCAGAGGTTGCAGTGAGCTGAGATTGTGTCACTGCACTCCAGCCTGGGTGACAGAGCAAGACTCCATGTCAAAAAAAAAAAAAGAAAAGTAAAGTAAAATGAGTTTATATAGGTAAACAATATCTGGCAGAGAATACAGGCTGTGTAAGTGTCTGCTATTATTATCATTCGTGGACCACAGAGGTCAGTCGGTAGAGGCATTGCCTTATTACCCAGGGACTGAGGCCCTTGTCAGCTGTAACACACCTGGTTCTAGGTGTCTGGAAAATATGAGGGGCCACCCCTCTCTGCTGCTGCTATACATGGCATTAACCACCTGCCTGGACACTTCACCCAGTGGGGAGACAGAGCAAGGTGAGTGTTTGGGGGAAATGGTGTTCAGATACTTGGCATTGGCCTCCCCCGACTCAGGAATGCCTCTAGTCCCTCCTCTTCCAGGAGTCCAGGACCCAGCCCCTTCCTCCTTCAGACCCAAGAGTCTCAATTCCCAGCTCCTGCTCCTTCCTCTGGGACCCCACTGCTTTCCATCCCCCTATGACTTGAGCCCTAGGGACCCTCCATTTTTCTGTCCCTCATATCTTTGGGTCCAGAAGTCTTCCTGGCTCCACCAGAGGCCCAGAGCTTCCTGAGTAGCCATACCCGGATTCCAAGAGCCAACCACTGGGACCTGGAGCTGTTCACACCAGGGAACCTGGAACGGGAGTGTCATGAGGAGAAGTGTTCCTGGGAAGAGGCCAGGGAGTATTTTGAGGACAACACTCTCACGGTGAGGTCCTCAAGACCCTGGAGTTTCGGGCCCTCTCTCTTCTCTATACCTGTGGGGAGGCTGCAGGGGGAGGGCCTCTGTCTTCTCTATACCTGTGGGGAGGTTGCAGGGGGAGGGCCTCTGTCTTCTCTATACCTGTGGGGAGGCTGCAGGGGGAGGGCCTCTGTCTTCTCTGCAGGGGGAGGGCCTCTGTCTTCTCTATACCTGTGGGGAGGCTGCAGGGGGAGGGCCTCTGTCTTCTCTATACCTGTGGGGAGGCTGCAGGGGGAGGGCCTCTGTCTTCTCTTTACCTGTGGGGAGGCTGCAGGGGGAGGGCCTCTGTCTTCTCTATACCTGTGGGGAGGCTGCAGGGGGAGGTTCTGGCCTTCAGCTCCCTCTTCCCTGGTGTCTCAGAAGTCAGGATGGGCTAGTTTGGGGGTGTGAACCTACCAGCTGAATTGCTGCTTTTCCCCCTTCTTTTCTACTCCTCCCCCATCAAGGAGCGCTTTTGGGAGAGCTACATCTACAATGGCAAAGGAGGTGAGTGAGCGGCTGAAGCCGTCTTGTTCTGTGCAGCTAAGGGATCCCTTCCCAGGGAGGCCAAACCAACGTCCTCCACCCCAAATTAGGTACAAGAATCGTCTGCCCCCCAATTCTGTGCTCTCTGAAGCTGGCTGCTAAAGGAGTTCCCCTGCTTAAGACCCTGGCTTGCCTGAGGAGCCCCCGACACCTTATGATTATTTTATTTTTAATGATTTATTTTTGAGACAGGGTCTCGCTGTGTCGCCCAGGCTGGAGGGCTGTGGTACAATCTTGGCCCACTGCAACCTCAACCTCCCAGGCTCAAGTGGTCTTCCCACCTCAGCCTCCTGAGTAATTGGGACTCCAGGCCCATACTACCATGATCATTTTTGTAGTTTTTGTACAGACGGGGTCTCACCATGTTGCCCAGGCTGGTCTTGAATGCCTGGCCTCAAGCAATCCTCCTGCTTCAGTGTCCCAGACTGTTGAGACTATAGGTGCCAGGCCCCACCACATCTAATTGGATGCAGGTCCTGGGTCCCTAGGAAGGGAAAAGTGTCAGTGGAGGGAAAGGCTAGAGCTGTAGAGCCTGTCGGGCCTTAAGCTGAGAGGGGAAGGCCCACCTGAACCCTTCGCTGGTGTCCAGAGTGAATGGAAACACCAACCCCTCCAGCAGCCTGATTGCGGGGGACGCTGCCCTCTAGCAACACGACCAAGGGAGGAAGCCTGCCCATCCTCACCTGCCCATTTTGCCCCCAACAACCCCTCCTCTGAGTTCTGAGGCCCCATCTTGTTGCCAGCCTTGTTGCTAAGGGGGGCTGCTCCTTAGCAACAGGGCCTGGCCAGGCCAGACCAGATAAAGAAGCCTGAAGCAGTACCTGGCTGATTTCCCCTCCCCCACAGCCCCATCCCAGCAGCTGCCTGGTTGCTAAGGAGGCCTTCTCCCTAGCAACCACACCTAGCCAGGCTCCGGGACCCAAGGCCTTCTGCCCACTGGAGGACCACCCTCTGGGCCCCCGATGCCCCACCCGCTTGTGGCCCGGTTGCTAGGGGTAGATGCACCTTAGCAACAGGCCCTAGGTCTGGGCTGGAGTCTCACACTGGAGCCTGGTTGCTAGGGGAGGTAATTTCCCGACAGGCCTAGCGAGGCATAGTGGCTCCTTGAATCCACCTGAAGGTGCCCACATCCGGAGGACCTGCCTTCTGAAGCTGCACTTGCGCTTTTTGCTAAAGGGGCTCAAAAGTCTGGGGGTTTACTGTGGTCAGATGTGGTGACTCATGCCTGTAATCTCAGCACTTTGGGAGGCCAAGGCGAGCAGATCACCTGAAGTCAGCAGTTCAAGATCAGCCTGGCCAGCATGGTGAAATCCCATCTCTACTAAAAATACAATAATTAGCCGGGCGTGGTGATGTGTGCCTGTAATCCCAGCTACTCAAGAGGCTGAGGCACAAGAATCACTGCAGCTGGGAGGCAGAGGTTGCAGTGAGCAGAGATTGCACCATTGCACTCCAGCCTGGGAGATGTCTCAAAAACAAACATACAGCATGACGCGGTAGCTCACGCCTGTAATCCAAGCACTTTGGGAGGCCGAGGCGAGCAGATCACCTGAGATCAGGAGTTCGAGACCAGCCTGGTCAACATGCTGAAACCCCATCTCTACTAAAGATACAAAAATTAGCTGGGCGTGGTGGTGCACACCTGTAATCCCAGCTAGCTGGGAGGCTGAGGCTGGAGAATCGTTCAAACCCAGGAGGTGGAAGTTGCAGTGAGCCAAGATCACACCATTGCACTCCAACCTGGGCAACAAGAAGGAAACTCCATCTCAAAAACAAACAAAAAAGTTTGGGGTTTACTTTTGGAGGAAAGCCCGCCTATCTAGTGCCCGTGGAAGTTTCCCCAGCAGCAAGAGCTAGCAAGGCCTCCCCAAGCCCAACGACTCCCTATACTCCCTTGTCCTTAGACTCGAGGCCTTGGATTGCAAACAGGGCTGCACCTTAGTAACAGGTCAAACATGAATTCTAGATTCTTAGTTACGTTGGCGGGGAGAGGGGGGTCCCTAAATTCCTCCATTTGTTTTTTGTTTTTTTGAAACGGGGTTGGGCAGGGCATGATGGCTCACGCCTGTAATCCCAGCATTTTGGGAGGCTGAGGCTGGTGGATCAAAAGCAGCCTGACCAATATGGTGAAACCCCATCTCTACTAAAAATACAAAAATTAGCCAGGCATGGTGGCGCACGCCTGTAATCCCAGCTATTTGGGAGCCTGAGGCACCAGAATCGCTTGAACCTGGGAAGCGGAGGTTGCAGTGAGCCGAGATCACTCCAGCCTGGGCAACAGAGTGAAACTCCATCTCCAAAAAAAAAAAAAGAAATGGGGTTGCTCTGTCGCTCAGGCTGGAGAGCAGTGGCACAGTCGCGACTCACTGCAGCTTTGATCTCCTATGCTCAAGTGATCCTCCCACCTAAGCCTCTTGAGTAGCTGGGATTATAGGCATGCACCACCATGCCCAGATAATTTAAAAAAATGTTTTTTGTAGAGATGGGGTCTCACTGTGTTGTCTACGCTGCTCTCTACCTCCTAGGCTCCAGTCATCTTCCTGCCTTGGCCTCCAAAGTGCTGGGACTACAGGTGTGAGCCACCGAGCCCGGCCATTTTTTTTTTTCTTTTAGAGACACGGTGCAGTCACCCAGGCTGGAGTATAGTGGAGTGATCCTGGCTCACTGTAGCCTCGACCTCCTGGGGTCAAGTGACCTTTCTTCCTCAGCCTCCCAGGTAGCTGGGACTACAGGTACCTGTAGCACCACACCCAGCTATTAAAAACATTTTTTCCCGCCAGGCAAGGTGACTCATGCCTGTAATCCCAGCACTTTGGGAGGCCGAGGCGGGCAGATCACAAGGTCGAGAGATCAAGACCATCCTGGCCAACATGGTGAAACCCTGTCTCTACTAAAAATACAAAAATTAGCTGGATGTGGTGGCGGGCTCCTGTAGTCCCAGCTACTTGGGAGGCTGAGGCAGGAGAATCGCTTGAACCTGGGAGGCAGAGGTTGCAGTGAGCCGGGATCATGCCACTGCACTCCAGCCTGGCGACAGCACGACTCCGTCTCAAAACAAAACAAAAAACCAACATTTTTTCCCCAGGCTCAGTGGTGGCTCATGCCTGTAATCCCAGAACTTTGGGAGGTAGAGATTGGTGGATTGCTTGAGGAATTTGAGACCAACCTGGGCAAAAAAACACAAAAAGTTACAAAACACAAAATTAGCCAGGCATGGTGACGCACACCTGTGGTCCCAGCTACTCAGGAGGCAGAGGTAGGAGGATCACCTGAGCCCTGGACGTCAAGTGGCAGTGAGCTGCGATTGCTCCACTGCACTCCATGCAGAGTCAGACCCTGTCTCAAAAAAAAAAAAAAAATTTGTTTTTTTTTTTTTGGTAGAGCCTCCCTATGTTGCCCAGGCTGGGCTCCAGTGATCTTCCTGCCTTAGCCTCCCAAAGTTCTGAGATTACAGGTGTGAGCCACTGTGCCTGGCTACCATGAATAATTTTAAAAGCATATCCCAAGTAGTGCATGTGACTTTTTTTTTTTTTGAGGGGGACAGAGTCTCTCTCTGTCATCCAGGCTAGAGGGCAGTGGCACAATCTCCCCGGCTCAAGCAATCCTCCTGCTTCATCCTTCTGAGTAGCTGGGACTACAGGCAAGCACCACCAAGCCTGGTTAATTTTTTTTTTTTTTTTTTTTTTTTTTTGAGACGGAGTTTTGCTCTTGTTGCCCAGGCTGGAGTGCCATGGCGCGATCTGGGCTCACCGCAACCTCCACCTCCTGGGTTCAAGCGATTCTCCTGCCTTAGCCTCCTGAGTAGCTGGAATTACAGGCATGCGCCACCACGCCCGGCTAATTTTGTATTTTTAGTAGAGACAGGGTTTCTCCATGTTGGTCAGGCTGGTCTCGAACTCCTGATCTCAGATGATCCAGCCACCTCGGCCTCCCAAAGTGCTGGGATTACAGGTGTGAGCCACTGCGCCTGGCTAATTTTGTATTTTTTGTAGAGATGGGATTTCACCACGTTGGCCAGGCTGGTCTCAAACTCCTGACCTCGTGTGATCTGCCTGCCTCAGCCTCCCAAAGTTCTGGGATTATAAGCATGAGTCACCACACCAAACTGGCCAGGACATAGTTTTGTTTTGTTGGTGGTGGTGATTGTTTTTTTATTTTTTGAGAGGAAGTCTCACTCTCGTTGCCTCGGCTGGAGAGCAATGGCTCGATCTCAGCTCACTAAAACCTCCACCTCCTCGGTTCAAGCGATTCTCTTGTGTCAGCCTCCCAAGTAGCTGGGATTACAGGCACATACCACCACGCCTGGCTAATTTTTTGTATTTTTAGTAGAGACAGGGTTTCACCATATTGGCCAGGCTGGTCTTGAGCTCCTGGCTTTAAGTGATCTACTTGCCTTGGCCTCCCTAGTGCTGAGATTACAGGTGTGAGCCACCGTATCCAGCCTGTAATCAGCCACGTATCCAGCCTGATCTCATTAAGTTTTCACAGTGGGATAGGGGTTATGGTTCCCATTTTACAGAACCCGCAGTGGAGGGTCAGAGAAAGGAATGAGGTGAATTGCCTGAGGTCACAGGGCTAGGAAGGGACCCCAGGTCTGCCTGCTTCAGGGTCTGTTCTCTTCCCTCAGTGGGAAGGAATTTTGATGTTAGGGTGGGTAGCAGTTCCCGAAACAGTGGCTCCCCTTCCCTGCTTCCCTGCAGGGCGTGGACGAGTGGATGTGGCAGGCCTGGCTGTGGGACTGACGTGTGGTGTCCTTCTCATTGTCCTGGCCGGCCTGGGAGCCTTTTGGTATCTGCACTGGCGCCGCCGCCGAGGCCAGCAGCCCTGTCCCCAAGAGTAAGGGGTATTCAGTGAGGAGGGGGTGGTGGTGGAGAGCAAGGGGAGGGAGGAAATGTTGGGATGTGCTAGGGATTGGGGGCAGATGGGCACTGATGAAAGACCTGAGGACACCGTCATTTGGAGAGTGAATCTGTGAGCTGGCTTGTGTCTGGTTTTGGTGTCTGTTGCTCTGTCTGTCTAGATCCTCAGTACCTGGCCCACAGTAGGAGCTCTGACCACTTTTGCTGCTGGCCTGTCTTTGTGGTACTGGGATTACCAGTATCCATGGGATTACCACTCTGGATATTGTATCTGGTGAGGCTGCGACGGTGCAGCCTGTGGTGTTTGGGTGTCTGTGGTATGTCAGTTTCAGTGGTGACAGGTGCAGCACCTGAGTGGGTGTGGGCAATTGGTGAGGAGTGCATCTATGTTGTGTTCCTGTCTATACGGATGGGCTGAGTTCTGTCTGTTTGGTGTGTGTTGGCCTGCCTCTCTGCAGGGCTTTTTTTTTTTTTTTTGAGACGGAGTTTCACTCTCGTTGCCCAGGCTAGAGTGCATAGTGTGATCTTGGCTCACTGCAACCTCTGCCTCCTGGGTTCAAGTGATTCTCCTCCCTCAGCTTCCCGAGTAGCTGGGATTATAGGCGCACGCCACCATGTCCTGCTAATTTTGTATTTTTAGTAGAGACGGGGTTTCTCCATGTTGGTCAGGCTAGTCTTGAACTCCTGACCTCAGGTGATCTGCCTGCCTCTGCCTCCCAAAGTGCTGGGATTACAGGTGTGAGCCACCACGCCTGGCCCTTTTTTTTTTTTTTTTTAAGAGACAAAGTCTCATTGTGTTGCCCAGGCTGGAGTGCAGTGGCCCGTTCACAGCTCACTGCAGCCTCAATTTCCTGGGCTCAAGAAATCCTCCCACCTCAGCCTCCTGAGGATCTAGAACTACAGGTGTGTGACGTGCATCCGGCAAGGCTGTCTTTTTCTCCATTGCTCTGCTTGTATCTGGTGCACATGGGTGTGTCTGAATAAGAGTGTGTCTCTGTGGTTGCTGATTTCTGTGTCTGCCTGTGTGTAGCTGACTGTCATTTGAGGCACTTTTCTGTGTGTAAGGCTAGGCTGAAGGTGACCCTCCTTTTCTGAGGTCCACCTCCCTTCCAGCTCTGTCCCAGTGTCACCCTGAATCTCCATCTCCTAGATCCCCTCTCTTCCGCCTTAGTCTAGGTATCCTGTAAGTTGCCTCTGCTAACTGTACCTTTGCTGTCCCCAGGGCCGGGCTTATCAGCCCTCTGAGTCCTTTGAGCCCTCTGGGCCCACCGACGCCCCTGCCTCCACCCCCACCCCAACCCCCAGGCCTCCCTACCTATGAGCAGGCGCTGGCAGCCTCTGGGGTACACGACGCACCTCCACCCCCCTACACCAGGTATGGGGCGTGGCTTCTGCCCGGGGGCGGGGCGCAGAGGGGTGGGCACGTTGGAGGAGGAACCTGGGCTCAGGGGCGGGACTTGGAATTTGGGCCTTATTACCTAGGGCGGGGCTTGGAGTGCGGGGGCGGGGCCCCATGCAATGGTCTAGGGGCGTGGCCCAGCGTTGTGTGTGCGGAGGCTTATAAGAGGGTGGGGCCTGTGCCCAGAGGGTCCGGGATTGGCTGAGACGCCGAGGGCGGTCGGAGTGGTCCTGGCTGAGGGGAAAAAAACACAGGAGCTTTGACTCCCTAGTGTGCCTCTTCTCTTGCAGCCTCAGGAGGCCTCACTGAAGAGCTGCTTTCGAGACCCGGCTCTCCGAACCATGCCCCTGATTCACACCGGATTCCGGAAGCCCCTAGGCCTCGTAGACGCCGAAGCTGGACTTGGGGGGGCGGGGATGGTGGGAGTAGGGGTCGCCCGGCCCGAGGCCTGCCCTGGCACACGCGTTTCCGCCGCGTATGGATATACACATGTTCTCGGCAACGTGTTCCCGTGTCCTGGTCCCTCACGGGCCCCCACACTCTCCTGACCGTGAGGGCACTGGTCAGTTCCGCCCCCGCGGTAGGCAGACGCGCGGGGAAATTCGGACCCAGGAGCCCAGCCCCGGCTGTGCCGTCTTGTGTATGGGCAGATATGACCTGACAGTCCCCTCCAGTGCCACAGGGTACGCACACGCAGAGCCCCGCCTGTGCACACGCGTGTCTTCGTGCACTCCCTGTGCGGCACAGAGGCACTTCGTAACCCAGGGAAAGGGCGGGGGGCATATTTGCAAGCTTGCTTGGTGCGGGCAGGCTCGCATTGCACCCAGGGAGCTGGAGTTGAGCTCTTCCCCTAAATAAAAATCCTTCGGAAAGGAGATCAAAAAAAGCAGAAATAATGCAAATAATAATAATAATGAACCGCGATCCCGGGCGCATCGGAACTGGTTTTCTGTGCAAACGCGCCCTACACACCCCCAGGCCCTGCTTGCGCTCGGTCTCTCTCTCACTCTCCCTTTTTTTTTTTTTTTTTTTTTTGCATTTGCACGGGATTGTGGGAGGAAGCGGAGCGCAGCCAGACACCCCGCCGCCCGCCCCCCCTTCCCCTCCCCCCTCCCCCAGCCGCCTTGTGCAAAGATGGCTGCACCGTGAGCGCAGAGGAGGAGGAGGCGGCGGCGGCGGCGGCGAGAGAGCGAGCACCCAGCGCCTGCACCCACCCCGGGGCCGCCCGGGACGCCCCCTCCCGAGCGCGCGCCCCCCTTTTTCTCTCGCAAGCGCCGGGGCAAAGGCGGAGACAGCGGGGTCCCTCCACCCCCCCTTCCCTCCTCTAGGGGGAACCCCCCTTCCCCCTTCCTTGGCTCAGCGACTGCACCCCCTCCCTTGCCCGCCCCTCCGCCCCTGCCCCCTCCCTCCCCCGCCCGGGGCCTTCCCGGGCCTTCGGCGGCTGCAAAGAAAAAAAGAGAGAGAGAAAAGGGGGGGAAAAAAAAGCAGCAGCGGAGGGAGCGGCGGCGGAGGAGAGCGCGCGCGCCCCCTCCCTCCCTCCCTCCCTCCCCCTCCCCCCAATTTCCACCGCGGCCAATTCATGGACAGGAACTACCCCAGCGCCGGCTTCGGGGACCCGCTCGGCGCCGGGGCGGGATGGAGTTACGAGAGGTCAGCGAAAGCTAGGTAAGGAGCTGAGGGTGGCCTGGAGAAAGGGGCCAAGGGGTGGGAGCCCAGGCGGGCCGGGCCGGGCCCGCCCGGCGACGCGTGCATCGCAAACTCCCCTCCGGCTTGCAAGGGAGCGGCCTTCCTCGGTTTGTAACAACGCCGCCGCCCCAGTTTGCAAATTGCAAACTCCGCCAAAGCCAGCTCCGGCATGCAAAGGGAGAATTGCAGCGGGAAAACGGGGGTGCAAAACAATTTCGGACGGGAAGGCCTTGGGAAGGTGGGAGGGACTGGCGAAGCAAGGCCTGGACTTCCCCCCATCCTTGGATTCCCGGCTTGGTGACCCCTCCCCCCCGCGCCCCAGGCGCTGCTCTTGCTAAGGTGGGAAGAAGAGAAGAATTAGGACGCAGATCTGGGGGGCGCGAACCCCCCTCAGGTCCTATTGTTTCGGGACTGTGCGAGGCCGCGCCACTAGGCGCCCCCCCAAGAATTCCGCGCGCAGAGTGGGCATGGGGCCCCGCCCCCTTCCTAAGCTGCAGTTCTGTGTGTGTAAGGGGGGTCTGGCATCTGGGACACGCCCCCTTTAATGCCCCCACCCCCAAAGGCAGAGAATCCTAGTTGATGGCAAAGAGTGGAGCGTTTGCCCTCCTGAGTCTGGCCACGGACTGGGGCCGTTGCATGGGAAGAGTCGGATGTTTCCCGGGTGTGTGTTTGTGTGTCTGAGCGTGGGCCCTGTGCGTGCGTGGCTGGCAGCGTGTTCACCTGTGAATCTCCCCCTTTCCTGCTGCTTCCTCACACTTCACCTACCCCCGAGCACCTCCCCCCCCAACACACCTGAGTTTCCCAGCAGGGCATAACCCCAAGTGTGTCAGGATATTCCGTGTGGGATTCCTCCGTCTATATCTTTTCTTCCCCACGGGTGAGTTGGATACCCATTTGCACACATACCTGGCATTGCACGGGCCCATGCATTTGAACCTCAACCCCCGGGGATGGACGGTGTTCTTGTTCACACTTGTACCTGGTACTTTCCCCGGGTCTTATTCCCTCTTCTCTCCACCCCCCACCAACCGTTGCCGGTTGGGAACCGATCTGCCTCCTGCTCCCAACTTGTTTTGCACCACCCCATGAAGTTCAGGGCCTCTGTGTTCCCGTGTGTCTACGGAAGAGGAGTCGTCCATGTGGACCTTTGGCGTTGGCCCCATGGCCAGTGTTGCCGGAACGGGGCCTGGAGTGGGGGGTTGGTGGGGTCGACGGGGGAAGGCTCTCATTTGCAAGTCAAGACGCTTCCTGTGCCTTGGACCCTCTTCTGTGTGTTAGTTTCGTCTCTGAGCATGCCTGTTTGTAAACGTGAGACTATCCGGGCTCTCTTTATTCGGGCTCTGGAGTGGGGGCCATTTCTGTGGCTTTTTAGTTGGGTACCCCTATTCCCTTGTCTTCTCTTTAAAGGCCTACGGTTCCTTAGCTTAACACCCCCTACCCCAATCAGCTGGAAGGGTCCCCCCAACTCCCCCGGGGGTTTCCTGAGCTCCTTTCTCAGAAGGCAGCTTGGGAGAACCCCCTGACGTCTCTCCTTTTCCCCCAGCTTGGTTTATGGCAGCTCCAGGACCTCGCACCCCGAGACGGACATCTTACACCGCCAGGCCTACGCGGCCCCCCACCCACTGCAAAGCTATGCCACCAACCACCACCCGGCAGGTACGGCCCCCATCCCGCCCCGCTTTGGGCTGGCCCTCCCCCCGAGGCAGCTGATTGGCTGTTGAAAGTTCCGCCCCTCCTAATTGGCCGTGGCCCGTGCTGTGGCCCGCCCCTTGCTGTGTCTCCTCTGATTGGTTGCCTTTGAGGCTGCTGGTCCCTGCTTCATTTCTCGCCGGATTCGTCCGCCCCTGCCTCGCCCCGCCCCTTTCGCTCCAATTGGCCCTGTCCCATCAGCCCCCAAATCCCACCTTCTCTTCCAGGCTTTTCCGCCTATCTCCAGCCCACCCCAATTCTTTCCGTCTGGGTTTGCCCTATTCTTTTGGCTCCTTGGAACTCTGAATTCTGCCTTCCTGATTCCCTTTCTTCCTGATTGGCCCCAATTATCTGGCCCGCCCTCTTTTATCTTATTTTGCCCCATTGCCTTATTCCACCCCCTGCCTTTGCCTCCAAGGTTTCTGATTGGTTCCCCCTTCCTAGGAGTACTGGCAATGACAGGATGCTGTCTAGTTTGACCTTTGACCTTCCTGATTGGCTCCTTCCCTTTTTCCCTCCCCATCTTTTTTTCTGAATCCTCCCATGGCGCTCAGTCCCTTTTGACTCGTTCTCTGGTCTTTCTGAGACTTCATTGTACCATCCTTTCCACTTCCTTGCTGGAAATACCCACATTTGGTCTCCCTCCTGGCCTTCCTGAGGACTCTGTTCTTTTGCCCCTGGCTCTTTTGCTTCTAGATTTTTCCACACTTTTGTCTACCATTTCCTATCTGGGCCCCTGCCCTTATGACTGGATTGCCCCTTGTCTTGCTTCACTGTCTCACCTTTCCCCCTTCCCTCCCCTCATTCCTGTCTCATGAGCTTGGTTCTGTCCATCTTGTCTTTGAATTTGCCCTTTTCTCTCTCATCCCCTCCTTTTCCTGATCCAACTTGCTTTTGACCTCTTCCTTTTCTCTCTTGACCCTATCCTACCCATCCCTACCTGGCTGACTATACCCTCTGTCCCCGGGCAGGTCTTTCTGGACTCTTCGACACTGGCCTCCACCACGCGGGCTCAGCAGGGCCCGACGCCTCCGTCATGAACCTCATCTCAGCCCTGGAATCCCGGGGCCCCCAGCCTGGCCCCTCCGCCTCCTCTCTCCTCTCCCAGTTCCGCAGTCCTTCCTGGCAAACCGGTAAGCCCAGCGCCGGCCCTGCAGGGCCAGGGTGGGGCTGGCTTGCTGTCCGCTCTGACCCGCGGTCTTCCTCATCTCCAGCCATGCACACGCCAGGCCCCACGGAGCTCTTCATCTCGGGCGCCCTGCCGGGTTCCAGCACCTTTCCGTCCTCCTCTGCCCTGTCGGCTTACCAACACCCAGCTTCCTTCGGCAGCCGCCCCTTCCCAGTGCCCTCGTCCCTCAGCCTCCAGGACCCCCCATTCAGCCCTCCAGCTAATGGGCTCCTGTCTCCTCATGACGTGCTGCACCTGAAGCCCTCTCAGGCACCCACGGTGCCCTCTTCACTGGGCTTTGAGCGCCTGGCAGGAGGCGGTGTCTTGGGGCCAGCTGGTCTCGGTCCAGCCCAGACCCCCCCTTACCGCCCTGGCCCCCCAGACCCACCACCACCACCTCGCCACCTCCCAACTCAGTTCAACCTGCTGGCTTCCTCTTCTGCTGCCGCCGCCGCTGCCGAGCAGTCCTCCCCACAGCTCTATAACTTCTCGGGTGCTGCCCCGGGCCCACCGCCGCCTGAGCGGGCCCTGCCCCGCCAGGACACAGTCATCAAGCACTACCAGCGGCCAGCCAGTGCCCAGCCCCCACCACCCCCGCCACCAGCCCATGCCCTCCAGCACTATCTGAGCTGTGGAGGCAGCTACCCCTCCATGGGCCACCGGGCCAACCTGGCCTGCAGCCCCCTGGGTGGTGGGGAGCCCTCCCCGGGTGCTGGGGAGCCTAGCAAGGCTGGTCCCAGCGGAGCCACGGCGGGGGCATCTGGCCGGGCCACAGGCCCTGAGGCAGCGGGGGGCGGTGGGGCCGGGGGTGGTGGCGGAGGTTACCGCCCCATCATTCAGTCGCCTGGGTATAAGACGGGCAAAGGTGGTTATGGAGCAGCTGCCGGGGGTGCCACCAGGCCCCCCCCACCCCGTTCGACTGCTACCCCCAAATGCCAGAGCCTGGGTGGACCGGCAGCCGCCTATGCCACTGGGAAGGCCTCTGGGGCTGGAGGGGCAGGGGGCCAGGCTTATTCCCCTGGTCAGCCGCAAGGGCTTCTGGGACCCCAGGCCTATGGGCAAGGGTTTGGAGCGGGGCAGGCACAGGACTTGAGCAAAGGCCCCAGCTACTCAGGGGGCCCTCCACAGCCCCCCAGCGGCCCTCCTCCTCCTGGCCTGGCCACGTGTCAGAGCTACTCCCCGGACCAGCTGCAGGGGCAGCTGTATGGGGTGCAGGGCGAGCCATACCCAGGGCCAGCTGCCCACTCCCAGGGGCTGCCCACAGCCAGCCCCTCACTCAGCTACAGTACCGGCCATTCCCCAGCGCTCTCGGGCCATGGGGGTGGCTGGGGACCCAGCTCCTTGGGAGGTGGTGGTGAGGCCAGCCCATCTCACATCATTCGTCC